CGGCCCTTAGGGCTCTGGGCGTAGCCGGCATTACGCGCCGCGACCTGGGGCGAGGCAGGGACTGGACGGCGACCACTGGGACCCGCGGAGATCCACGCCTCGGGGCTGGATTAGTTGGGCCTGCCCGCGCCCCGCCCACCGCCTCCGCCTCCGCCGCCCGTTCTCTCCAGCCACCGCTGCGCGCCCGCCAGCAGCGCGCCCGCCGCCGCTGTAGCCTCCGGCCCGCGCCGCGCCCGACGGCGCGGAAGGCACCCGCGCGCTCGGAGAGCCGCCCAGCGCGCGAGCTGGAACGCGGGCATGCGCGCCCCCGGCCCGGGCTCGGGCTAAACAGGGTGCGCCAAGAGAGAGACCACTCGACGGGCCGAGGCCGGGGGGGCCAGCGCTCCGCCGCCCGCGCCCATGCCGCCCGGCTCCAGTTCCGGCTCCCGCCCGGGGACTAGCGGCGATCACCGGCAGAGCCCGCCGAACCCGGGGTGCCCGCGCGGTGAGTGCGCGCTGGTGGGCCCCGGGTCTAGAGAGTACCCGCCGCCTCCTGCGGAACGGGGCGTAGGAGAGGCCCCCGGCGCTCTGCCTACTCCTTCTCCCCTGGGAGCTGGGCGCGCGAGACCCCGAGACGCCGGCTGCGCACCGGGGCGCACGTGGCGGCAGGAGGACGGTGTGCAGCCCTGCAGAGTGTCCCCAGCCTCGGCCAGAGCTCTGGGGGGCCTACGGTGGGGGGACGCGCGCTTTTGTCTGCGCCTCATCAAGCATTGGCGTCCGGGGTTTCGGGCTCCCGCTGTGCTCACCTGCCCCGAGTGGAGTTCTTTGTCTGGGGCGGGGCGCGGCCGGCGGAGTCTGTGCTGCTTTTCTGGGCCGAGGCTGCCCGCGAGTCGGGTCCTCGCAGACAAAGCGGCGCTGTGACCTCCACCGGCGGCCGGGTCTACGCACCTAAGGGAGTTAGTGCTGGCCCTCGCTCCCCGCCCCTATCTCCGCCTCCAGCGAGACCCCGAACCTGCACTGCAGCCCGGGGATCTCCCACCGGTAATTTGGGCCCGGAGTGACCCCTTCCTTACATCCTGCACCAGCTTGTTACTGGGATTGGAGAATGTGATCGCCCCAGCACACATGGGTCACATCCCAATAGGTAATTCTCTGAAAGTTTTATCATCAGCACAGGTCTGGCAGCTGCCCCGGTTACCCACCTCCACTGGCTTAGCTGGTTAGCTCCAGACCCCTTCTCCTGGAGGGGAAGGAACCGAGAGACAGAGTGCCCCAGCAAGTTTCAGCAGGGGCACCTCTGCCTGTACTGGAACCCGGGCCACGGCCCCGCAGAGGTCTCCGGAGCTGAGGGTGCAGTTGGGTTTCTGCTCAGAGCCTCCCTGGGTGGGCATGGCTGCACTGGCTTCATCCACTCTGGTCTTGCTGTGTGGTGGAAGCATGTTGGACCCCTGTGGGGACTTGGATCCCTCAACTTCCCAGAGCAAACTTTAACTTGCACCCCCTCTGGCACTGGAGGGGCGTGGGTACAGGATGGGCCTAGGTGAGTGGCCTAACCTGCTGCCTTTGCCAGGCTGGAGGCCCAGGGTGGGGTGGGGAAGATGCTCCCCCTCATCTGCAGCCCACCCCTCCTCTGCTCCCTGACTTTCCCAGTGTCTGGGGTGCCACCTCCTGGCCCTGGAATTTCCTGCTGTGGCCCCCGGGCCTGGAACTGAACCAGAGCTGAAGGCAGTGCCTCCAGGGCCAGGCACGTGGCCTCCCCCCAGGCAGGGACCAAAGGACACCCCACAGGAGCACACGAGTTTGTTTCTGTGACTCACTGCAGGGTTTCCTTCTGATACCCGCCTTGTTCAGGTGGGGATGCCCATGTCAGAAGGGGGAGCAGGGTACCCGAGTCTCACACCAGCTCCTTCTCCCCCACCCACCCTTGAGGATACCTTGACCTGGCTGCTGGCAGGTGGGCACAGCCCTCATGCATGCCCTCAGGAAGGCAGTGCCACCTTTAATGCCAGTGCAGGGAAAGAGCCACTGTCAGTGCCACCGAGCTGAGGACCCTTGCCAGCAAGCAGCCCATAACATGTCCCTTTGGCCCAGAAGGGGTGTCAGTGTTGGTGAATAATCAAGACCCTAAGGGAGTAGCCTCAGTGGGGAGCAGCCGCGTGCTGACTCCTCTCATTTGAGGGCACCTGTGCTGCCCAGCATACCGTGCCTGCCTCGTGTGGGTCCAGGGCAGCTGAGAGGTAGCCCAGCAGGCAGATAGGATTTAAGCCAGTGCCAAGGAAGGGGCACCATCAGGCTGGGGTCCCAGGAGGGCCAGGGGGGACACAGCTGAAGCCTGAAAGGCATGGAGTGGGACTGGGGATTAGAGTGTTGGTCCCAGGTGAGGTCGGAGGCCCAGACAGGCCTCTCGGGGTCTGCAGGCCAGGTGCAAAATATAGTCTGAGTCAGTGGTGACACGCTGGCATGTTCTCATCCCCAGGGTGGCTTGTTCTGATTTGGTTTTAAAAGACTCCTGGTTGCCATATGGAGAGTTAGGGAGAGTAGTAATGAGACCAGGTAAAAACTATAAAAACAGTTGTTACCCAGGCACTACATTATAACCTCACATGGGGTGACCACAGGACCCACTTCTGAGTCTTTGAGTGGGCACTTGTCCTGAAGAAACATCACTTCTTTGCAGACGGACAAACCTTTTTCCCTTGGGGGACAGGCAGGCAGCTGTCTGACACCCCTCCGCATCCTGCCTCTGTAGACCCCCAGCTCTGGTGGACCCCTCGTCCCCATGAGGACTCTCAGGGGCAAGGCAAATCCAGGGACTGTAACTGTTGCTGCTCATCATGTAAAAGTGCCAGAAAAACCAAAGCAGCAAGGAGAGCTCGCAGTGTGGCACCCTGCATGGGAGCATGGTGTTCCACGTCCTGGCCCTGGCTGGCGCATGAGGAGGTTACATGTAGCCCCCGGGGTCTGGCAGGCTTGGCAGGAAGGACCCAGCTGTGTGCTGCTGCCCACACTCACACCCAGGGTGAGTGGAGCCTGTACACCTTCCCCACCGTGGATCATGGCCACCTGGGCCGTGTCATGTCTGCCAGACACCCTCTGCCTACCTGGTCAGAACTCTCTGGGATTGAGTGGGCTGTGGCAGCCTCTCTCCTGGCTCTGAGCCACACAGGGCCATTTGGGGACTATCAGGCCATTTGCTGTCCTCTTTTCTTCCTGGGCTGGGTTTTTTGGATAGTAGTAGGAAGACTGGACCCATTCCAGCACGATTGTGGAGTGCCACACCAAGGTGTTTCATGGTACATTCGTGGTCTTGCTTTTCACATTTACATCCATGGTTGGTCTGGAATTATTCTGATGGACTCAGCTTTCCCTTTTTCAAGAAGCTCCTGTCACACCATGTCCATCAGAATGACCCACCCTTTCCGCTCAGGCCTGAGAGTGCAGCCTACACAGGCTCACAGTGCTGGGTCTGTTTGGATTTCTGTTTTCTCTGACCTCATCTGTTCCTTTGTCAGTCCCGCATCTTGTAACTGGCTTTGCCGCACCTGAGTTTGTATGGGGGGGAAGCTCCCTATCTTAAGTGTACAGTTTGATGCGTTTTGACGAGCACATGACTGCCAGCCCACCACGATGGTCAGACAGCATCACTGCTCAGAAAGCTCCATCCTGCTGGTGTGTTTATTTATTTATTTATTTTTAATTTTTACTTATTGTGGAAAGATACACGTAAGAGTTGCCATCTAGCCACTTTAAGTGCACATCAGTAGGGCATTAGAGCATTCATGTGTGATGCAGCTTCCCCACCTCCGACTCCAGGACTTTCTCTTTTTCCCAAAATGAACTCTGTCCCCATGAAACACTAACCCCTCCTCCTCCCCCAGACTCTGGCCCCCACCGTCCTGCTCTCTGTCTATGAGTTTGATGACCTAGGGACCTCATGTACATAGTTATACAGGGTCTGTCCTTTAGGACTGGCTTATTTTACTGAGCCCCATGCCTTCACAGTCCACCTATGTAGCAGGTGTTGGGATTTCCTCCTTTTACAGCCAAATAAAGTTCCACCGAGTGGATGGACATGTTGGTTTATCCACTCAGGGGTCAGTGGACTCTTGGGTGGCTCCCACCTCATGGCTGTTGTGAATCCTGCTTCTGAGAACATGAGTGTGCAAAAATCTCAAGTCCCTGCTTTCAGTTATTTTGGGTGTAGACCCAAGAGGGGCATTGCTGGACCATATGGGGATGTCTCGTTTAGTTTTTTGAGGAGCCATCACACTGGTCTCTGCAGCAGCTGCACCATTTTACATTCCCACCAGCCATGGACAAGGGTCCAGTTTCCCATGTCCTCACCAGCACTTGCTGTTCTCTGCTCTTCAACAGTAGCTGTCCTGATGGGTGAGGTCCCCCCACCAGCAGCAGCCACCGGATGCTTTCTCCACCTGGGTGTCCAGAGCAGGGGCCTCTGTGGACACCAGAGCGGTGTACAGGGCTGGGATGCAAGGCTGGGGATAGCTGATGACCTAGAGGTTTCTGGGGTGATGAAGATGGTCTAGACCAGGTGACGGCTGCTTGTAGCTGTGTATGCACTAAAAACCCTTAAACTGTATGCCTTCATTGGGTAAATTATATCTCAATAGAGCTATTTAAAAAAAACAGCAGGAAGAAAAGGTCTTCATGGAGCAATGTGCTCTATCCCAGACATTCAATGCCTCATCCCAGCCACAGGCAGTGGGGCGGCCCCTAGCTGGGGGAGGGCAGCATGGTGGACTCTGCTCTATTCCCTCATGCTGGCACTGCCAGGAGGCATCTAGGTTCCTGAGTCCCTGCCCACAGGCCAAGTGACAGCTTGCAGCCAGGTTGGGCATCATTGCCTCCCATGTGAGGCTGTGGATGCAGAATGACACGTTCCACCGGGCCAACCAGGTGGCCCATGTGCGCCAAAAACCTGTCCAGAACTGCTTCCTAGAGGCCAGGGTGAGGGCCAGGCTCACCTGGCTTCCCACCACTGACCCCCATCTCTCTTGCAGGCATCTGTGGGCTCAGAGAAGCTCTTTACCCCTGGAGCCAATAAAGGTAAGTGTGTCCCTTGGCCTCGGCTCCAGGCCACCAGGAAGGCGCACAGGCACACTCCTGAAGTCAGTGTGGGAGGGGCCAGATTGGGCCCAGGTTAGGCATGTCTCAGGTCAAGTTCTAGGTGCAGATCCTGAGGTAGGAGTTAGGTGCAGTGATTTACTGAGGAGCACCCACCCACCCCCTGCCCAGGAAAACCGTGAGGAAGCAGGGGCAGGGCTAAGCCTGGGCAAGGCAGGACAGCTCTGTAGCAATGGTTCCTGCAGACTTGTCCACTGGTCCTGCCCACAAGGCCTCCCAGGGCACCTGTCTATAGAATGGGGTCATAGTGCCCCCACGCTGGGACTACAGTGGACAGAACACTCCCTGGCTGAGGGGGGCCCTCCCTGGGTGGGGGACCAAGTCCAAGGAGCTGCCCTGTGGTAGCCCCTCCCCCAGCCCCTGGGGAGTGAGTGTGGGGCTCAGCCCTGCTGGGACCTCCCTCAGGTACATGACCCCCTGCCTTATCCCCATCAGAAATGGGGGCCACTGCAGGACCTCTCACAGGTTGTGGATGGCATTAAACCTAGAGCCAGGCTCCTCTCTCTGCAGGCTCCACACTGGGTGAGCCGCCCGAGGCCAAGGCCGGGACAGGAACCAAGGTCTCAGGCCTGGAGCGCAGCCGCGAGCTGAGCACTGAACCGCCCTTCCTGCCCCCTACTGGCCCCACGCCTGGCGCCCCAGCCAGCCCACCAGTCAAGAAGGAGGCCCTAACCCCAACCCGCCTGCCCCGGCAGCTGCCGCCCGCACCCCCCCGGGCCCCGCTCCCAGCGCACGTGCCTGTCCCCCTGGGCCAGGGCCCTGCCTCGCACAACGGCCTGCACGGCCTCAGGTGGGCGCCGGGGAGGGGCGAGGGGGGGGCCCCGGGGGCGGTCGCGCACTGAGCCCCCCATCCCCGCAGCAGGAGCAGCAGTGCCAGCAGCGCCGGCCTTGGGCTCTCCCAGCACGCACCCCTGCCGCCGCCCGGGCCGGGCCCCCTCCTCTCTACCTCACACTTGGCGCTCCGCTCGCAGGCCCAGCACCAGCATCGCGCGGCCATGTTCGCTGCGCCCCCAACACTGCCCCCGCCCCCGGCACTGCCGGCCAACAGCCTGGTCATCCCAGGACACCCCGCCGGTAGGTCCTGGTGCTGCTCATCAGCCAGGGTCGTGTCCCCTCCACCCCGCTGTCCTCTGCCCTGGTGGGTTGGGGGGCGACCCTGGGGAGGGTGCCAGCCTCGGGCACAGCCTCCCTCCCTACTCCTCTCCCAGAGTCCCAGACAACCATGACCGTGGCTCCCACCACCATTCTCAGGTCCCACTACTCTATGCAGAGGAAGCTTCCTGCCTGGGCCTGGGCTGTGCACATGTATGCAGACATGACACACACATGCCCACTGTGTTCTGGGCTTGGCCAAGCCTGGCCAGGCAACCTGGGGGTGTTGAGGGATCTTGGGGCCACCATGTCTGCCCACCCCTCATGCCTTGGTGGAGTGGAGAGTTTCGTGACAAACAGCGGCCAGCCCTTCCCGCCTCCCTGGCATGGTTCTGACAGAGCCCCCTTGAGGCTGAGTCTTAGGTCGTTAAGGATTTCTCTGGGGGGTCTTATCCCAAATTCTTTCTACAATGTGAGTCAGCCCAGCCAAGTCGGGGGCACTGCAGTGCTGGGATGATCCTGGGCCTGCCTGGGGCGGCCTGCGGCTCACACTGTTCTCTCTTGCCTTCAGATGCCAGCCTGTTGATCTCGTTCAGCCAGCCAATCATGTATTGCCAGCCTCATGCGAGGATTCTGATTGGTACTTGGTCACAGGCACCTCTGTTACCTCCACCCTGGGGCCCGCACGTGGCGGGCGGCCACCACAGCTTGGCCTGCCGAAACCGGGAGTGCCAGGTGACTATCCGCCTCGCCCCGCCGGGAGCCCGCGGCCAACGTGCCTCTCTGTCTCTCTCTCTTTTTCTCTTGTAGATCACGAGCTGCTCAGGCAAGAGCTGAACGCGCGTTTTCTGGTGCAGAGCGCCGAGCGGCCCGGCGCCACCCTGGGCCCAGGGGCGCTGCAGCGGGCAGAGTTCCACCAGCACCAACACACACACCAGCACACACACCAGCACCAACACACATTCGGCCCCCTCCCCATGGGGCTGCCCCCAGCGCCTCTCCTGCCGCCCGCCGCACCCCTGCCGGTGCGTAGGCCCTGGGCAGCGGCGGGCGGGCAGTCGGGCGGAGGACACGCAGCAGGCACACACAGACGCTTTCTGCACGCACGCAGGCTGACGCCATCTCTGTGCCCCTGGGTCATTCTGAGGCCCCCTCCCCAGTCGTTCTCCTAGGCTTAGGCTGGTGCCCATGTCCACACACATGTGACATGGCCTTGGGCCCAGCTGCGCCATGTGGGGTCCTGGGCCTCACAGTCCTCTCTGGTCCTGCCACAGGTCTGGAGACCCAGACTGGATGGAGAGGCCATGTGGACCAGGACCCCTCCCATGCTCTCTGGGCCCCGAGGCTGCATCTCCTGAGCTAGCTGCTATGCGGGCAGAGTCCCCTCTGCTCTCTCCAGGCTCTGGGTCAGCCAGCTAGTCGCAGCCGATGTCCCGCAGCTGACCGCCAGCCCTGGGCTCCATGCCCCCCCACCCAGGCTGCAGCTGCCTCACTGGCTGCCCATGGACGAGTTTGTGCCTTTGTGGGTGGACTTTTAGAACAGGGAGGGGCCGCACCCAGTCTGAGGATCTGGGCCCTGCGAGGCCAGCTCAGGGCCAAGGTGCCTGCACCCTCGGGGAGCAGGAGGCTGCAGGACAGCCATCCTGGCCATGCCTGGCTGGGTGGGTGGGTGGTGCTGGGCTCTGTAGAAGGCATCAGCATGCAGGGACCTCACTCCACTGCCTTGCCTTCCAGTTTGACAAGTATGCGTGTAAGTTGGACAGCCCCTACTTCCGACATTCCAACGTGAGTGTCCTGTGGGCACCGGGGCTGGCCAGGCCAGTGGGGTGGAGGGCAGGGCTGCACCTGCACCAAGGCCTTTTGGGGGTCCAGAGACTTCTCAGAACCTGCCTGCCCTGGAATGTTCTTTTCTCTTCCTCCTGCAGTTTTTCCCGCCCTTCCCCTCTGCCATCCCTGGACTGCCAACCCTGCTCCCACACCCAGGACCTTTTGGGTCCCTGCAGGGTGCTTTTCAGCCCAAGGTACCAGCTACTCCTATGGCAGGGGGAGTTGGGGCATCCAGAAGTGAGAAAGGGGATGTCCACAGTGATCGGGTACTGGTGTGAGCTGCCCATGCTGTGTAGGACATGTCTGCTGTGTGGCCCCATGGTGGGAAGGGGCTTGGGTCTCTGTGGTAGAGGAATCGCTGGGGCAGGTGGCAGCATACAGAGGGGACGCTGGACATATGTACCCCAAAGGGCCTTGGTCTCAACACAGAACCCCCCTGACCCTCTGGCCCACCAGTCTATAGACATTAGCCTGGCAGGGCCTTCTTGGCACCTGGGACTGCCATAGCTGAGCTTCCTACATTCCTAGCCACTCAGCTGGGAACCCTTAAGGTGGGGTGCGCAGGAGAGGATCCCAGTGGTGAGTCTGGGTGGGGCAGGCTCAGGGCTGTGCATATGCAGGAGGGAGGCTGGGCTTGTACTGTTGCCTTCCCTGGAGGTGCTGCCTCAGCCCCCACCACCTTCCCCACCCAGGCAGTCAGCATCCAGAGGCCGTCCTCCTTTCTCAAAGAGCCCTGCTCTGTGGACGGTTGGAGGCCAGCCAGCCCCTAGGTGGCAGCGTTCGGGGCCGTATGGTGGGGTCTCTGGGCTGGGAGGGCTCCGAAGCTGGCTGATGCCTGCTTTTTTTTCCTCTCAGACTTCAAGCCCCATCGAGGTAACTGGCCGGGCCAGTGCTGTTCACCCCCTCTACCAGAAAGCCCCTGGGGTAGGTGGCTGCGGTGGGGGCCCACGTAGGCTGGTGGCAGCAACAGGGCTTGTCCCTACCCTCCTGGGGCCTAGCTGCCGCAGAACTTGGACCTAATGCTCCCCTCTGTCGGTGACAGGTGTCCGACCCATACCGGACAGTGGTCAGGGTGAGTGTGTGGGGCCCGTGGGAGGAGGGGGTCTGGAGAGTCTGTGGCTGGGGAGGACTCTGGGTACCTCCTGATGGCCCTGGGGAAGCCCATGACAACTAGAGTGGCCTGGTGTCGCAGAAACCCGGGAAGTGGTGTGCTGTGCACGTGCAGATTGCCTGGGAGATCTACCACCACCAGCAGAAGGTGAAGGTGAGCAAGCTGTTGCCTGTGGGCCAACAGGCGGGCCTCTCCGACACATCCATTTAGGACCACGTCCTCCTGGTGTCCACGTATGAGTGCATGTGTCCAAGACTCAGATGTTAGCTACATGGTTTCCTGGATGCTGGGCCTGGCTGTGAGGAGTCAGAGCCAGGGAGGTGTAACTGTGTGCGTAGGGCCAAAACACGGTGGGTGGGTGGGGGGCCACTAAACTGCTCACAGTGACCCAGGCGGGACTTGGGGAGGAGCAGCCATCAGTGGGGAGGTCCCCACCTCAGTGAGCCCTGGCTCCCTGTGGGTGTTGGCCTGCCCCTAGCCCTTCTCTCAGGCATTTATGGCATGCCAGCAGTGTGTCTGGATTTCATGGAGCTGATGTGCTTCCTGGGAGGGACTCAGATGCAATGGGATGGTGCCAGGCAGGCCCCTGGTATGGTGGGGCTCCAGGCAGGTACTAGAATGATGCCAGGAAGAGACAGCATGGGAGGTGGATCCTTAGTGCTGCAGAAGGGCTGGGTGGGGTGTGCCCCCATCACAGAAGGGTCCTGATGCTCTTTACTGCCATCACACAGTACTTCCATGCACAGCTTTTATTAAAGGTCACATCACATTAAAGAGAAAACAACAGAAAAGGGTTTATAACAAAATACTTTGTGTTTTGATCAAGAAATGCTCAGGCAGGACCCTACAAAGCATGGTGAAGGGTTCAGGGGCATCCCTCACAAGGAGCAGCGTCATGAGGGCACCTCTAAGTAAAGCCTGAGCGCCCCTCTGTCATAGCCACCAATGAAAGCACTTCTGCTCACCCAGCACACTGCAGGGCTGGAGGGCAGGCAGGCTGCATGGGGGCTGCAGCCAGGCTGGGTGGACCCAGGAAGGGCCCTCACAGTGAGGAGCCAGGCCCTTTGGTTTCCTTAATTTTAATTCTGATGCTAAATCCAGTAATTGAGATGCCTGTAAGCATATTTGGAGACACTCAAGTATGTGGGTGTGCTCTTCCAACTCGATGTTAAAAAACCTAAACACAGGTGTAAGTATTCCAGTGTAGTCCTGGCGTCCAAGTGGAAAAGCACGGCCCTCAGACGATAAGTGAGGCACCCTGAGTGATCTCATCATCAGGGTGTGGGGACAACATCCCCTCTTCCTGCGTCCAATGAAACATTCAGATGGATCCCCATTTTTCTCCACCTTCCTGCCTGCAGTCTTGGGGGCAGGTGGGACACTGCCTGGCTACCCGCTGGTGGTCTGGAGTCTTCCCCAGCTGCAGGCTTGGGTGCCTCGCAGGATGGCATCCCCTGGACTCGCTCTGTCCCCCACCAGATGCAGCTGGACCCCCACAAGCTGGAAGTGGGCACCAAGCTGGACCTGTTCGGCAGGTCCCCTGCCCCAAGCATGCTCGCCGGATTTCACTACCCGCAGGACCTGGCCCGGCCCCTCTTCTCTAGCTCGGGTAGGGCTACGGGGGGTAGGGAGGGGTGTCCTGTGGGCTGGTTGGCTCCGGGTGCTCGGGCAGACTTTCCGAACACATTTCAGTATGGTCCCTCTCACTGGTTCTGCCCTCCTCCCGAAACTCTTCCAGGGCTTATTGCTCAGTGCTGCATATGGCGCCCCCTCCTCTCTGGGGTCCCATTTCTGATGCCTGCAGGCTGCCTCCCCTCCCACCTGGCTTTTCTTTTGGATTTGGCTTTTCTCAGATTGGCTGGAACCTTACCCCAGAACCCCCAAGTTCACCAACCCTAGCAGCCACGCCACAATCCTGCTGTGCTGGGGTCCCCAGGACTACCCCCAGGTCCCAGGATTCATTAGGACCACTCCCTAGGCAAAGGGTCTCAGCCTAAGTCAGCTCCACAGTGAAGCTGGGTCGGAGGGAAAAGGTGTGTGGGCAGGGTGGGCAGGATGCCATTCCCACATGACCAGAGGATGGCTTCCCTCACACAGTAAGAAGCCGCAGCAACAGGGACCCAGCACGCAGGGTTTTGTTGGGGGCCAGTCACTAGGCACCTCTGCCTGCACACAGCAAAACCACAGACTTGCAGCAGGAGAGCAGGTACTCAGCATAAACCACATCTGCACAAGTACCTCAGATAGATGAGGCCTACCTATCAGGCATGGAGCCTCCTGCAACCCAAGTGCCCAGCCTTGTGCTGGCCTTTCCAAGGTCGCTGTGTCCTCTTCACAGCCCAGATCTGTGCCCTCCTCCAGGACCCAGCAGGGTGTCCCCTCAGAGCACCCTCCCTGCCCTCTGGCCTCTCAAATGCTCACCCTCCCCTTTCACAGGAACTTCTGACGTGTGAGGGTGGGACCCTGTCAGCAGGCTAGAGTGGTGGGCATAGACAGGGTCACCCAGGCCAGCTTCACAAGCATGGTGGCTCTTCCCAGTCCCCTGCTCCAACATCCTGGTGTTCTCCAGACCCCAGCCTGGGCAGAGAGGTCTCCCACGTGTCTAGGCCCCCTATAAACAGCAGTCCTCCCACCAGGGCCTCAATCCCTGGCAGGCAACAACCTGCTCAGGCTGGAGCCTGCAGGACATGTGCTCAGTGTGGGCCCAGGCTGTGGCCTCTAGCCCACTCTGCAGAGCTGAGCATCCCACACAGACCAGCCTGTGAAACCCTGGCCGTCAGCCTGCAGCTGTGCCCCTTCCTCCTTCCCAGCCTGTGCCTTTACTCCTGCTCCGTCTGTCTGACGCCCCTTCCTAACTCCCTGAGCCGGCAGGCTGGGCCTTTTCTCATGGCGCTTGCTTCCCAGGTGCCACATTTTCCTAGCCACACTCTGTGCACCCAGATGCTCCACCCTTGTTAGCACCTGGGCAAGATATTTTCTCACTTCTGGTTTGATTTGACTTATGAATCATTTAGAAGTGAGGTTAGCTGTCCAGTCAGAGCTCTGTGGGTTTGGAAACTGCATGTCCCCAAGGGAGGTGCTCATCTGGGGCAGCCCATTAGCAGGAAGACATGAATGCCCCACTGTGAGGGTCTCCAAGGCAGAGCGAGCTGGAGGGACATGGGCGCCCAGCAGTCTTCACCAGAAATCCACTCTCTAGCGTGAAGGGGGCATGCCCCCCAAACAGCAGGACCAGCCCCTCAGCCCAACAGCCCCTTATCAGGGCCCATGCCCCACTCAATTGCTCTCGGTTCAGTTCTGGGGCCCACTGAGGAAGCCAGGGCTGAGCCTTGGATGGGGTGACAGGCTAATGCCATAGTGATGCTTGTGGGCACACCACAGGAGCTGCCATCCTCAGTAGCTGTGACTCTGTCCATGAGGACCAAGCCCCACACACTTTTAAGGGCCATTTCTCAGCTCCCAGCTGCAGACCTCAGGGCCACTGGCTCAGGAGTGGCCCCCAAAGGCTCAGTGTTGGACTCTCTCTCTGACCTCTTTCCTCTGGGAGTCCATTGCCTGCAGCATCTCCATCCTCCTCCCCCTTGGAGCTCTCCAGATCCTGGGGAGAGAAAAAAGGCCACCTCCCACCTGCTTTGAGTGGGAGTTAGAGGTCCCCAGAGGAAGCTGGAATGCCCCCCTCCACCAGGAACAGGCCATAGTAAGCCCATGTGCACTCAGGGCTCCACTAACCTGCCCTGCTAGGTGCGGCCCATCCCCTCACCAACCCATTCGGACCCTCGACGCATCCTGGCAGCTTCCTATCCACGGGTCACCTGACAGGTAGGTGTCTCCTGAGGTCTATGCTGGCTGGCTGGCTGCCTCTACAGACCTCAAGGCTGGGGTGACAGGTGGGTGGGGAGGTGACCCCAAGAACCCTGAGTTTGTATAGGTGGGCCCTGCCAGGTTCTGAGGGAGCACCCAGTGAACAGGTGGAGTCAGGTGGGAGCCCTGCACCAGCCACACAGACGCCTGAGCCCCAGTTGCCCCACAGACCCTTTCAGCAGATCAAGCACCTTTGGGGGCCTTGGGAGCCTGGGCAGCAATGCCTTCGGGGGCCTGGGCGGCCACATGCTAAGTAAGTAACCCATCGTGCACCTGCCTCCTCAAACATGCAGTTGGGTCTGGACTGTGTACCTCCTGGTCCCCTCCCTGGGGTACACTGGTCCATCTGGGTCTGGGCTGTGTATCCTCCGGTCCCCTCCCAGGGGTACACTCCTTGCAGTGTGGGCATGGGGTACAGGAATGTGTGCTCCCCCACAGCAGCCCTGTGGTTCCACAGCATGGGAATATAGGGTTCAATGGCCTGGCCTTACATGCCCACGCCCCCAGCTCCAGGGGGCAGCATCTTTGCCCCCAAGGAGGGCTCTGCACTGCACGGCCTTCCCAGCCCCCACGAGCCCTGGAACCGTCTGCAACGGGCACCAGCCTCCTTCCCCACACCGCCCCCGTGGCCCAAGCCCACCGACACGGAGCGGGTCTCAGCCCTGACCAACCACGACCGGGAGCCAGACAAGGGCAGGGAGGAGCACGAGCGGTGAGTGGGGCCCCCTGCCTCCCCTCACCCCACCCCTCAGTCCCCTCCCCACCTTTCCTGCCAGGACCCTCCTAGCACTTCAGCCTCCCACCTGCTCTATGCCAGCTCTGCCCTCAAGATCTAGGATGGGTTGGAGACTGCATTGTCAGGGTGGGGAAAGGTCAAGGGAGAGAGAAGCCCCACACTCTGCCCCAGGGAAGGCCCCCTGCTGGAGCAGGATCTAGGCAGGAGCCGTTCGGGGCACCGGCCCACCCTAGCAGAATAAGTGGAAGGACAGTGGGTGTGTGGGCCATGGTGGTCCCTCACCCCTGTGGGGAGCTCAGATGACGAGGGGAGTGGTCTGACTCACCCAGCTGGGAGTGGGCAGAGAATGCTGCTGGCGTGGGACAGGAGGCTGCTTCCCAGGGTAGGGGCTTCTGAGCCACTGGAGGGGCCAGGTCTATCCCCTGGCCTGAAGGATGGAGGCTAAGCTTGGCTCCCTAAAGGCTATGATAGGGCTAGGCAGGGGTTGGGGAGGTGGTTCCCACCTTCTGGGATCAGCAGCAGAGTCTGGGTCCTGAGGGTCCTGAGGAGGCAGGAGCAGGGGATGGTTTCTGACTCAGCTCCTCTGCCAGGTCCTTTGCCCCGACTTTCCCCCTGAATCCTGAGTTTGGGCATTTCATGAGAGGACTCCGCTATGTGCCAGGCAATGCTGGGGGCTCACAGTGGAGATGGAGGGGGAGCAAGGCAAGGTTAAGAGTGCCCTTGAGTCAGTGCATCAGATGATGGAGACACAGGTGGCAGGACCCGGGCAGGACACCAGGGGGCAGCCAGGGCCTGTCCACAGCCTGTAGAGCTGGCACAATCACTGCAGACAGCCACCTGCTGGGGCCTGGGCACTGCAGCCCCATGAGCCCTCAGACAGGGTTCCGTGGGGTGGTGGTCGTGCTGAGAGTCCAGTTGGTAAGGAGGGTGGAATAGGGGCGTCTGGGGGTGCTGAAGGGGAAGGAGCCAGCCCTCAAGGGTTGGACCCACACCAGCCCTGGGGGCTATGCCCTCCCTGCCCCCAGGCTCAGGGGCAGAGGGCCAGCAGCCCAGGAAGTGGTGCCTAGTGGTTTAGAGTTTACCCCACCCGTGACCTGTGACAGGACAGTGGGCCCGTGGCCAGGTTGTGCACACTTCTGACAGATCCCAGGGCACCGTTCAAGTGGACTGGGAACCTAAGTTTCTCACTGGCAGTCGGCCCTGACCCAGGCTGAGCGGCTCGGGCTTGCGTGGAGTGCTCCGGGACCCTGCGGCAAAGTCTGTTTCCTAGTTTAGCGACTGGAGCGAGGGTGGAGTGAGGGCTTCCCGTCACCATACTGGCAGATGCCCCTAGCAGTTCCACAGGAGCCCAGGGTGCTGAAGGGACCCCCCGACTTTCCAAGGATCTTGAGGTCACAGCAGAGGTCGATGGCCACGCACGCTGAGGTGGGAGCTTAACGACAAACAGCTTGCTGGGGCCTCCGGGTCCTGCCCCTGGGCTGAGCCCGGTTGTCTGGTCTGTGTTGTGGCCCCTAGGGACCTCCTGGAGAAGACGCGCCTGCGGAGCCGAGCTTCGCCTGCAGCCCCCATGGGCCTCCCGGCCAGCAGCATCCTGCTCCGGGGCCAGGGCGAGCTGGGCCGGCCCGGGGTCCCTGCAGAGCGGGAGGCCGAGCCGCGCATCAAGGAGAGCTGCTCCCCTACTAAGGAGGACGGCCCCAAGCTGGTGGCGCGCCCGCCGTCGCCCTTCAGCAAGGCGGCCCTGGGCGACAGCCTGCGCCTGGCCGGCCTCCTGGGCCGGGAGCCGGGGAAGCCGCCTGGGGCGCCGGCCGAGCGGCCCCAGGGCGATGTGAAGGTCAAGGAGGAGCGCAGGGAGGACAACGACGCGCGCCCGCAGCGCGCAGCCCCCGCGCCCCCTCCGTTTGGCCCGGGCCCCGCGGCCCGCGAGCGCCTGAGCTGTTCTTGGGAGCCGCTGCGCGACCCCTACTGCGGCCTGGAGCTGCCCCGGCGCGCCCTGCCCGCCGGCGCCGGCCCCGGCCCCGCCGCCCTCCTGGAGCCCCCGGAGTGCCCCTACCGCGACCGCGAGCCCCACGACTACAGCCCCGAGCGCCTGCGGGCGGCGCGCCGCGAAGAGCTGGAGCGCGCGCGGGCCGCGCCCCTGGACGGCGCCACGGCCCTGCCCGCCCTGGGCCCCCTGCACTACCCGCGCCTCGGGCCTGCCGCCGCCGCGCTGCACAACGGGCTTCTGGCGCGGCCCCCGCCCGCCGCCGCGCTCGGCGCACCGCCCCCCCTAGTGGCTGCGGCTGGGTCCCCTGCACCTCCCGGGCCGCCGCGCAACAGGACTACGTCTCTCGGGGGCCGCCCGTCGGGCGAGGCGCGCGACTACTCCCCGTCCCGTAAGGCCCCCGAGGTGGAGGCGCGGTAGAGGACGGGGCGGGAGCCGCGCTTCCCACAAGCACCGCCCCGCCGGTCCGGAGGCCCTGCACCCACCGCGCCTGCGGAGTCGGGGCTTTAAAATCCAGCTTCTCGGGGTGGTTTTCTGTTGTCTGAGCTTGAGATAAGCCCTGGATAAAAATCCAATTTGTACATTTTTTCCCACAGGCGAGAAGCGTTTTTAATAGATTTGTATTTTTTTCAATTTTGTGCTCTTTAGACATTTTAAAAGAACAAAAAAGAAACTTGCTTTTTTTATTTTTCTTTCGAATTTGCAACTTAATGGCCTCCGATCCCTCTCCAGAGCCCCAGGGTTTTTTTGTCTTATTTATGGAGAAAACGCGGCCCTTTTGTCCAGCGCACTGTGAGGCCCCCACTCAGGCTGGGCCCTGGCCCTTCTCGGTACTTAGAACCGAAGCTACAGAGGTATATTAAAATAATACTAATGTACAAAACTACTTTTGCCTTATGCAGAAGTGTAAGAGGATTTCTTTTTTGGTTTGTTTTTTTAAAAAAGCAAATGAAACAAGTGTAAATAGTCTGTTAATATAACTATATGACATTAAATTCTTAACCTAGGTAGACTTTGTACAAAGTTTCTAGAAACCCCTCTGGTTATCCATTCAACACGGTCACAGAAACCCATTCGCTGTCAGTTGGAGATGCTCCCTTTAACTGCAGCAAGGACCCTTCAACTATGCAAGCGCCCCGAGGCGGACACATGGGCTGTCTAGGGAAGAAGGTTCCCCCAGCCAACCACAAGTGGCCTCCAGCCCTAGGGGCACCACCCTTGGGCTGCAGGCTCAGGACTGGCCAGCTCTGGCCACAAGGACACTGACCCTCATGCTGATTGTGTGGTGGTCTCAGAATCTGTGCCAGTTTAGAGGTGAAGAGTCTAATGGTTGATCACAAAAAAAATCCCACTTCTGCCCATTAATCCTTCTGAAGGCCATCAGCAGATATCTGGCATGTCCTAGTGTCATGCCTCCACCAGTGAAGGCCATGGCTTGGGTTCCTTCTGGTTCTAGTATTGCTTCCATAACCACTTGGATGTCACTGTCCTGCCAACGCCCCTCTTGTTCCCTGGCATCCACAGCTGTGTCCGTGGGCTTCCAGCCTTTCTGGTCCAGCCATCAGCACCCATTTGCTTCATTTGATTCTGTATTTTCAATCCATGTTTGTGGACCTTGGTTATTTTAAACACTATGTTCTCACGTAAATCAGTGAAGATAAATATAGCCTTGATTTGGGATGAAAAGGTGGTCGAGTGTTTTGTGTGGCACTGTGGCTGGTGGGGGTCGTGCACCCACCCCAGCTCGTGTCCCCCTCTTGTGCTGGCGAGCACCCAGCAGGACCCGGTGTGCTGCTGGAAGTGCCCCACTTCCCTCCCCTGGGTAGCCTCCTGCCTTGCCTGGGTCCTGCATGTGCCCTCAGCAGTGCTCTCACCCACCGTCTGCCACTTCTCACTGTGTGGAACTTGTACTCTGGGTCTGCCAAACCCTCTCAGTCCAGTCTGTGTGCACCCTGTGCCGGCTCCATGGGGCGCACATCCTGTGGAAGGCTGGCCCTGCCCCCACTGCTCTAGCACCATGTGGAGCCAGGTGACCCTCTTTGGGAGAATTGAGAGCTCGAGGGAAGGGTGGGCAGAAATGGCCACCCCAACAGCTGGAGGAGAAGGACAGGGGGCACCGCCCGTGCGTGAGGGCTGCAGCTGCCTGAGTTAGCAATGGGCTCTCACCCAGCCCTGTCCTTGTTTTGGAAATGCTGGCCCTGACATTGACCTCTGGTTGGATTTGCCTTGTTAGGTGAGCAGCCAGACCCAGAACAGCCCCAGCCTGAGAAGGCCTGTGAACCCACATCTGTGGACATTTATGGCAGACAGCCACTGAGTCTGCTGGAGGGTCGGGGTGCTCCTGCCCAAACTGAGGGGAAGTTCCTAGGGTTTTCCTTCTCTCTGTCTCCAGCTCTGTGAGCCCCTCTCCCTGCCCATCAGGGGTCAGGGAGCTTGCCCAGTTCCCACCATTTACCTTCATCTGCAAAAGAAAACCTTTCTAGCAGTAAGGGGCTTGTGGTCCTTCCCACATTATCCAGAGGCCCATTCCGGTAGCCCAGGGCCTCTCCAGGCAAAGGGTTGGAAGGCCCAATTTGGATCCTGCCAACTGGGAGGCTGTGCTGAATCTGTGGCCTTCTGTCCTGATTGCCAGCTCTTGTCTTTTCCAGCATGCCCAGAGCACTCACGTCCTTGCCCACTGCGATTGCAGCCATAGAGAACCATCCTGGGTGTGACCATTGAGCTGGTGGTACCTCTGGGGTCAACCATGCTGAGAGACATCTCAGTCTGCAACGAAAAGCTAACAGTGAACTGACATCTGCTACTACTTCTTAGCTAGTTTTGGGGAGAATGTGGAACAATTTCCTCCGGTAACCCCACTAGTGTCTCCTGCCCTACCAACCCCACCGCTTGTCCCGAGCTCAGAGAAGGGGACCTTATGCTGGGGGAGACACCAGGCCTGAGGGTGGGGGGCCCAGAACCCTCAGGGTACCCTCTTGCCTGACAAGCTTCAATCTGGACCTCACATCTGAAAAATTTTTGTTTCACGATCCACCAGGCTTAAGCTGAGCTCTTTTGCACAGAAAATTCATGCACTATCAAGCAACCTCTGCTGCAACCTCTGCTGAGATCGTGCAGGGCCGGGCGGGGTACGGCAAGTTTCCTTTCACACACACACATGCCTCCTGCTTGTTACTGAAACAGGATCCAGCTTTTAAGAGGCGCAGGAGAGGGGCACAGCCTGTGGCTGGGCCTGCCAGCACAGGACTTACAGGCCTTGGCCTCTCTTAACCCACTGATGCATTTGCTTTTTAAATGTGACTAGGAGAAAATTTCAAGTGAACAGAGCCCGTTTAAATGTCAGGAGTCTGATGAGGATGGAGTTAGCCCTAGAAGCCCTGGAGATGGAGGTGGGACTGCAGCGTGAATGTGCTAATGCCCTGATCTGAACACTTAGTGACTAAGATAGTAACTTCTATGTTGTGCCTATTTTATCACAATCTTTTAAAATCACTTGCTATGACTACAGAATAAAATACAGTTTAAGGAAAAAAACCACTTTCCCCCAAAAGGCATACAAGTACCTACAGCACTTTACATGTGATCCAAGCACCCAGGCTGAGGGGTGGGGACAACTCTGTAAGCATCTGTGGAATGGCATCCATGCAGACTTATTCTACACAGGACTCGGGTGTTCCCTAGAGGTAGGCCCCTCCTCCCACACATTAGGGATGTGCCCGAGAATTGCTTTGAACAAAGAAACATGGGCACAATCGACCTGAGGCTATTCCAAGCAGAAGTGTCAAAGACCAGCGTTGGTCAGCCTTCTTCATGTGGCAATGTCCCCAAAGGAAGCGCCCGCCAGTCAGGCCCCAGGACCATAATGGGGAGCAGAGCTGCAGCCAGCCCTGCGGAAAGCTGGGGCTCTCGGGTCACGGCTTATCCCATGCTGACTGCAAGACGTCCTGCAGCCACACCAGCCCCTTCCCTGCAGAGCACTTGTCATCACACTCCAGTACAGCCCTGCCCCCCCCACCGCCAGGCCAGCAGAAACCAGGTTGGTCTTGGGAGCCCTGTTCTGAGCAGCTCTCAGCCTGTGCCCAATTCAGGCAACCTGGGGTAATGAAGAAGCCAAGGCGGGGAATGGGAACTGGGGACTAGAGTGCTTGCAGCTGAGCCTTCAAGGGGGCAGATGAGAGCCACAGGCCAGGGGGTCCTCTATGTCAGCACTCACTTCCCCAAGGACCTGGGGCTGATGGCTCTTCATGCCCATATCAGGTGTTTCTAGAACAATCTGAGGGTGCTATGGGCTGAACTGTCTCCCAAATCCACATGTTGGGGTCCTAACCCCTTCAGGATGTGACTGTGTGTGGAGACAGCTTTTAAGAAGATGACTGCAGTAATGAGCCCATATGAGTGGCCCTAGTCCCACAGGACTGGCATCCTCATAAGAGGAGATGAGGACACAGACATGCACCAAGGGACAGCTATGCGAGGACACGGGGAAAGGGTGTCTGCACGCCAGGTGGTACCAGAAGGACCTGCCCCATCCCAGCCTGCAAGGACACAGGAGTGAGCATGCTCTCTGCCTCTGTGTCTGCTGTCTGTGGTGTTTGTTCCATGGCCGAGGGGACTGACATGGGTACAGGCCCATCTGCCCTGTCATCCTCACTCAGCTCAGGGGCCCGAGGGCAGGGAGGAGGGACAGAGACCACCCCACTCTGGGCCTGCCCACTGCCTCCCTCCTGTGCCAGTGGGTGAGGACCCTGGCGGGGATCCTCCCCAGGGCCTCAAGTCAGAATCACCTTGTGGATCCTTTAAAAACACCCCTTCCTGGACCCACCCCAAAGACATGGGGGCATGGGCACAGGGAGGGGTTCAGGCGCTGGCATTTCCAGCAGCTCCTTGATTGACCTAAGTGCATGGTCAGCAGAGAACTGTGGTTCAGAGCTGCCAGTCCTGCAGGGGAAACACTGACAGGTGTGCCAGTGCACCTGAGGAACCCAGGTCTTCATCTCATCCCTAATTCCCTCATATTTAAATTTAATTTCATAATTACAATCATGTTTGGAACAACCTGGAGTCTTTAAGGGGTATGTTTATGAAATCTAAGTAGAGATCAAATCTTTCTGATGAAAATGAAGCATCTGACCTGAGAGGTTCTGTAAGTGAAATACACACCAGACCTCACAGACTTGTTACAAAGAAGGAATGTAAAATATATCAATTTTCTTATATTGACTCCATGCTGAAATATTATTTTGGATATATTGAGTTAAATAAAATATGTTGCCTAAGTGAAATTCACCTGTTTCTATTTTTTAAATGTGACTAGTAGAAAAATTTACATGGCCCAGCAATGTCACTCCTGGGTGTGTACCCAAGAGAAGTGAAAACATACGTCCACACAAAAACATGCCTGTGAATGTTCATAGCAGCTTTATTCGCCATGATTGAAAGGTGGGTGGGAACATCCCGTGTCTGTCCATCGGCCAACGGTTAAGCCAGGTGTGGGCCTTCTGTGACAGAGCTCTATTCGCCGCTGCAGGGACAATGTCCTGACACACTCCACGACACAGAGGAGACATGAGACCTTGATCAGTTACCAAAGCCAGGCACGAAGACCACACGTTTGGCTCCCTATGTTCTGGGCACAGCTCCTAACCCGGATCTCCCATCCTAGCCCTGATCACTGTGAAGGCTCACCAGCAGGTGAGAAGCCACAGGGACCCGAGCTTCTGTGCGTGTGCTCAGACCATGCACCCTGCCTCGGGGAGACTGGGCTCCTGGGCTCCTGGAAGAATAGGCTCACCTAGAAGAGTGCCTCCCCTTCTCTGCAGCCTGAGGTGCTTGGTTAGAAAGCACACTCTGTGCTGCCCTTGGGCCACCTCGAAGGCCCCACTGTGCAGTTTGGGGCCATCTGTCCTGCAGCTACTGCAACCCAGACACACACCCCAAGGGCACAACCCAAGGCCTTGGGAGCTGTGTGGAGGTAGCAGAGTGCTCGTGTCCTGGTCACCTCCCACACAGCGTGGGCTAAGAAGCTGGAGGCAGACCAGCCCCCTGCCCTCAAGGGCACTCAGGCCTTCCTGGGACAGACGTGGCTCCAGAGGGACAGGAACTGGGGCCTGACTTCACTCTCCAACCCCATACAGCTGTTTGGGGTTTCCTGTGGGAATAGCCCCAGGACAAGGCTGCATTTGGGAACATCTCCTAGGGATTCTGTGTCTAAGGGGTGGCATGCCTGAAGACAAGGATGACCCGCGTGTCAGAAATCGGACTGAAGTTCTTAAGTGACGTGCGTCCCCAAAAGTTTCTCAGTGCGTGTGCTCAGTCCTGGTCTATCACGCACTGGGCCAGTAGCCAGAGAACAGAGTTCCGGTTTCCTGCCGAAAAGGGGACGTTGCAGGGTCGTGGAGTTGGTCCCTGCTGGCTGGTCCCCATTCCATCAAGAGCACCCGAGGCTGCCTGGGGCCGCGGTGACTCGCTGCGGCCCGCATCGCCACCTGGCGGCCACCTGGGGTAGCGCTGGGCCCAGCCGTGTCCGGGTCCTTTCCCGTGGGAGGGCCTGTCACGCTGCCGCTGGGCCGCTTCTCTGCGAGGACAGGTGCGCTGAAACAAGCAAATCGCACGGCATTTCAGAAGCAAGGCTTCTCGGAGGTCCGGCCCACCAGGCGACAAGCCGCTGCGAGTCCTGCCGAAACTGG